TGGAAGGTTCGTTACGTTTTGTTATCCACGAGCATTTGTATCCACGAGTTATTGCCGCTGTAATGCTCGGTCCGGCGAAAGTTGGTCGTTTTTAGCGCAGCGGCCAGAAGAAGAAAGAAAGAAAGAAAGAGGGAAGGGGGAAAAAAAAAAACGAAAGGGTATCGCCTAGTTTCAGCAATTATCATTAGTCGCGGTGGTAGTCGCGCTCGTCAGTCGCCCGGTTTCCGCCGGAATTCGGTTTCTTTCTCTTCGGTGGACCGGATCCCGATCCCGACCCGATAAGAAGTTGCGAGAAAATTATGTGTCTTCCCTCCCCGCCCCCTACGTGTCCGTGCCTCGATTAAGTAAGACCAAGAGTCAAGGGAGAAAGACTGGGTGGGGGGACGAGAGTAGCGGGTTAATAACGGCCGTCTATGAGAGCGGCGCGATCCTCCCTCCCCCCTTTTCGATGATTTATCGCGCGGAAAGGGGGGCTTAACGCCGCACACCGCGGGAATTTTATGCGTTCCTCGAAAGGGGAGGGGGAGGAAGATTCGAGGGAAGATTTGGAGTTGGAACGAAGAAGAAGTCTGTACGCGTGAAACGATTCTTTTTCGATGCAATTTCATTCCTGATCTCTCGAAAGAATTTGGAACGCTGTATCGAAGACCAGGTGTGTAAATATCGGCGAAGCCACGATAATAAGAGATAACAAGATAAAATTGTTTTCTTCCATGGTTTCGAGCTTTTATTATTATGGAGACTCAGTTTTTTTAAACGTTATAATGGTTTTTATTATTATCTCGTTAAAAATGTAGCAATTTGTGATTTGAAGCTTTAAATATATCGCGCAAAATATTTCAATTAACGTAGAAAGCGCTTCGATTTGACAAGGATAAATTGGATAAAAATGATTAGAAAAAACGATAGATATGGGCCAGATAGATATGGGCCTAAATAGTTATAATTTAATTATAAAAAAGCATTGTAAAAAGATGCATACTCAAAGATCAAAAGAAATAAAAAAATTGCCAACTAAAGTTAAGAATATTATATATATATATCATAATATAAATCCTGGATGACGTGCGTAAAAATTAAAAATTAATTTTAACATACATTTCATTACATACATTTAAAAACAGGATCTAAAATTCTAAATTGTATTACGAAACAATTTAAATTTTCCATCAGGTTGTATACATAAACACGATTCGTTCGCAGCATCACCGTGTATCGAGTTGTACAAGCAGTTTTCGTTCCTTTCATCCGACTTCACTCGATATGAATATCGCCGGTGTTCGCGCGTCGATTTTATCGATGGAAGCCTGCGCTTCGTCAGGGTTAATCGGGGAAGGTGGGGTGGGGAGAGGAAGTTGGTTGAGCGGTTGGTTGTACGCCCGATCGCTGAAAGATTGCCAAGCGCGATGCACGACACTCGGCGTGTCGTTGAACTTGCCAAGGTTTTGCCGGAGGGAGGGGGAAGAGGAGTGGTGACGCAACGCCGCGATACATATATATATATACATACATAGAGAAAAGCGCGAGGAAAAGAAGCGTGCGGCGAGGCGGCACACGTGCAGCACACGAAGCGGCGATCTCGCGCTGGGCCAAGTTTGAAGGATGATAGGTCGCTCGAACTCGACAATTTCGCGGAAGTTGCGACAGTTTGTCTACGTCGCGACTATAGTATCGGGTAAAGTTAGCGGCACGAATAAGCTGTTCCATGCCGGCTCTCTCGCAATCTCGTTCGCCTTATTTTCTTTCCTTCTCCTCCTCCCCCTTCTCCCCCTCCTCTCCTAGTTACGGAAAAACATAGCGGCGCATTAACCAAGCTTGCAGTTATTCCAGGAAGTTTAAGATCTTAAAGCTGCCTCGCGCAAACTATCCACTCCTCCCCCCATAACTTTTTTACTCCCCCGATATTTACTGGTTTTCTTTCTCCCCTCTATCCATTGAAATCTAAATATCCCGGTAAAAATCACCCTTTTGAAAAGAAAGGAAAGGAAGAAAGGAAAATTCGTCATCCCTTTTCCGTCCCTCTTCGAAGCAGTCAACTTTCAACCGTGCCATCCGATTTCCCGATTCTCAATTGTGATGTTTCTCGAACGTTTCTCCCTTCTTACGTCCCCGAGAAAACGAAGTTTTGGTTGGAAAGGGATGATGAAAGAGACGGCACGAGGGATTTTTCTTTTTTTTTTTTTTTTTTTTTTACTCGTAGGAAGGAATGATTAGCCGTCGGGATACGTGCTCGGTACCGATCGACCGCATCCGCCGTTTCGTCGGAATAGATTCGAATTTTGCCCCGTTGGAGGAGGAGAGAGAGAGAGAGAGAGAGAAAGGGAGAGAGGAGTCGTGATTGCTTCGGCCGGAAGTACTTTCCGAGGGTAACGTGGAATGGATAACAGTCCCAATAAAATCTAATTTAACCTGGGGAGTAGAAACTAGGAGATGATACATTTTGTGGTCGGCTGACTCCAAGCTGCGGCGTAGCAAACGGAAAATAGGAGCCACGAAGGGGATGGACTTGCTAAAGTACAAATATATACTTTTGTCGTTGCGTGTTTACGCGAATAATCGTGGCGAATAACAGCGGTTCTCAATCTAAACATTTAAACACCTTAAAATTGTGGAAATGTGGGTCTTTCGTTAACCGTTTCTTATCTATAAGTGGGAGAGAGGGGAAAGTTGGAAAAAGGAGAGGTCGAATTGGATTTGTGTTTACGCGAATAATCGTGGCGAATAACAGCGGTTCTCAACCTAAACAGTTAAACTCCTTAAAATTGGGAAATGTGGGTCTTTTATTAAACGGTTCTTATCTATAAGCGGGAGAGACGAGAAAGTTGGATTTGTGTTTACGCGAATAATCGTGGCGCATAACAGCGGTTCTCAACCTAAACAGTTAAACTCCTTAAAATTGGGAAATGTGGGTCTTTTATTAAACGGTTCTTATCTATAAGCGGGAGAGACGAGAAAGTTGGATTTGTGTTTACGCGAATAATCGTGGCGCATAACAGCGGTTCTCAACCTAAACATTTAAACACCTTAAAATTGGGAAATGTGGGTCTTTTGTTAAACGTTTCTTATCTATAAGCAGGAGAGAGGAGAAAGTTGGAAAAAGAAGAAGTCGAATTGGATTTGTGTTTACGCGAATAATCGTGGCGAATAACAGCGGTTCTCAACCTAAAC